CACACACACTCTCTCTCTCTCTCTCTCTCTCTCTCACTCACTCTCACACTCACACTCACGCACACTCTCACAAGCGAGCACACATGCGCACAGGTGCACACATACTCACAGACGCACGCTTATCCCAGACACACATTTATTGTGTTACTCCGCGGAGTTGTTGTCTGTTGCACTCACAGAGGAGGGGGAGGGGAGGGGAGAGAGGAGAGGTGTGGAGGAGACAGGAGAGAGCAGACAAGAGAGAGGAGAGAGAGAGAGAGAGGAGAGAGAGAGAGAGAGAGAGAGAGAGAGAGAGAGAGAGAGAGAGAGAGAGAGAGAATGCAAATTAATGTTTCAGTGTCTTGGCATTAAAGATTAATCTGATCTATCACACTGTAAAGCATGACATGCACATATTACTTGCATATCACTGTTTAAGAGTAAGGGAATTTTCTCTTTCTATACGTGTTATTTATCTTGCAAAATTGTATGGAACTTACTATATTTACGGAGTTTCAAATCTGTTCCAAATGTTTCAGCTCTTGGATTACTATATTGAGTCAATAAACTTTGACATAAATGGCCGGAAGTTTCAAGATATGTGTGTAAGGTATGTCTGAATGTCATTAGCGCATTTTTATTTCCTTGATGAGTGCAATGTGTTTATAACAATCAGGCAGATGTTTCTGAGCTTTCCTGTAGTAAGGCAGAACTGAAAAATACTGGAGTTACAAAGGATAATGACCTTTTAATAATGGGAAAAAAACTAATCTTGATCTATAACAAAGCTTTCAGATTTTTCATCTGATCTAACTAATACACCGTAAATGTTTTTATAATATGCAACTCTATATGCTGCAGTTTCTTGCAATGCAAAACATTTATATGTAAAGAAAAAGTAAACTTGGCCTTGAATTTCACCAAATTAGTTCCCGACTATATTTTACATATTACACCTGCAGTTTGTTGATTTTTAAAGTAACAATACTCTTCAGTCCAAACTTGTTTACATTTTTGTTTCATTTAACAATGACTGTTCTCTTTTGTTGCACCAGAGGATTTACATTTGGCTTCTTTGTTACAAAAACCCCCAAACTTCTACTTCTTACCTTGATTCACTTCTTATTTTTTTATAATAAAAAAACAACAATTGTAGCCTCTTTTTTTAATGATTATTTCTTTAAACTCCAGGGTAACTATATTTATATTTGAAATTCCTATGCGGCATTTGACATTTCAATGTATACATTTGAGCTTGTTATTGTTATATTTTGACTTTTTATGATGTCATCCAGTATATTTATATTTTTTTCTAATTTGGTCTTTCTATGTGACATTGAATGTTTGAATATAATATATTTGATCTGGAAAAAAAATATAGTTAGCTGTGTTGTTTGTTTATTATTTATCTATTTACTAGAAGATTTTGTTGTTTTCTTTGTGATGTTGATTGTTTATTAATGTTTTTGTAAAAGTTAAGCTTTTTTCTCGTTTATTGTTATTTATTTATCTGAAGAGTTGTATTGTTTTCTTTTGTTTAGGATAGGAAAGTTCTGTTACGTTTCAAGCCTTTTAGAACTGTGGTTGTATGATGAAGCAGCCATCAGAGCTCTGACTAGGAATGACATCATTTCCATGATCAGCCGCACTAAAGTCAGGTGAGAGGAACAAAGACTGGTAAACATATATATATATGTGATATCGTTGCATTGATGTGGTTTGTGGAAGGATGGGGTGGGTACTCCTCCATAGGTTCCACATAAATAAGGTGGTAAAAGTAAAGTTGTTCCCGCATCTGATCCGGACATTTGGGATTGCCTTGTATGGGAGACAACTTCCTGGGTCTTCGGCATATTGTGGTAGGGTGGCCAGTTCCTTTCAACGCCGCCTTTACTTCCCCAACTCTTGGAGTCAGGTACCCATTACTGCTGGGTGGGCGAGAGGCTGCGAAAAAAATCCCCTGTGTCCGAATTGAGGCTAGAACCCGGACTTTCCATTTCGGAGACTAGTGCACTAACCGCTTCGCCACAGCACCCTCACTAAGCTAGTAAGCTAGTTAGTAAGTTTATTTAAGTGTTTGTCCATAAAAATAACAACACATCCAACTGACTTCCTACCTAAATTGGATCCGCAAGGATGCCCCACCTGACTGCCCGTTGTGTGACTGCCAGGATGAAACAGTATCACACCTTCTCTTTACCTGTCTTGCACTTAGCGACCTACATAGTGCCTACCTGCCTCCCCAGATATCAGAAATTCTTTATACAGCAACAAAACGCAGCTGATAAAAACCTGTAAATTCTTTGCCCTGTCGACAGGCCGAAGGGCTAGAACCCAGATGGCTGGTGGATCGGAAAAGTAAAGTCCATAGAAATAATCAATAATCAAAAGCGCTATCTTTAAAAAAAAAGTGAGCTATTATTGCTAATACTAAGTTTTATGAAGAGAGACAATGAATTTGAGCATTTGTATAGGTTAGTTAGATGTTCATGATTTGTTTTAGTGAATTGTTCAGTTTCTGCGGTATGCTTTGAAACTGCTCATAGAACTTTGCTCTGCCTTTTAAAAATTGTTTGTCATTTTTTAAATTCCCTATTGACACATTTTAAATCATCCAAGAGATGTGTTGTTTGGACTCTGCCTTTTAGAGCCTATCTGGCCTGGGTGGGAAAGAACATTTGAAATAAGTTGCTCACATGAGAATTAAACTCGAATCTGTTGCAGCCAAGAGTCTAACTCTTACACCAAAAAAGCTAGTTTTACCAATGTAAAGCATGACATGTCTATGTGAGTGAGAGAAAAGGCTGTGTTCTACTTTTTTTCTCTCTTTTTCCCCCCAATCTTTGAACAGCCCATTGTCGGGAGTGGATGTGGTCACTCTTCTTGGTGGTCAAATCACCCGAAATGAATCAGGTGTTGTGGTTGGTGCAGAGGCTTCAAAGGTGAACTGGGTGCTGGAGAAAGAAGAGGTGAGTACCCTCTGTTGATGAAGCGATATGCACCTTGTCAACTGGGAACCAGAGAAGGGGAGGTGGGCTGGTGGCTTATTGGTGGGCGGGGTGTATATTGATGTTAAATGTGAAATGCTGTTTGTTCAGGCTTCACTAACGAACCTAAGCCTGGTAATTTGAGATTTCTCCCAGTTGTGTTACATTTACTTGAGGAACAGATGTTCCATGTTTGCATGTTCAGTGTGCTTGGATGGAAATGATACTGTCGCATGTGAACCTTGCTTTAGGTATTGTATTCAAGGATGAATGTAAATACGGACAACACTATCCTACCTTTTGGTGAAATGCAAACCTTTGGAATTTTGAAACACAGTCCTCTATAAATCCCTTTGCTCTGTTGAAGCAGCAGTTTCACGAATAAAAAGTTTGTGTGTTTTGTCTTTGTTGTGCGGGTGTCTGTACCGGGATTGTTTTTTGATGCTGTTAGTAGAGATGGTTAGTTAAAAGGTGCCACCGGTACTGTTTGACATTACTGTGAGTCTTAGCTCACTCCATTCTTCCACTGTCACTTACAAGATGTGCTATGTGCAATATTTTGGAGCCCTCTCTTATCTATTTAACAATCCCCCCCCCCCCCAAGCAAAAATAACCCCCTGAAACATGTTAAATCTTATGGGTTTCTTTAATGCTTTTAGTAGAGATGGTTAGTTAGGAGGTGCTACTGGTACTGCTTGAAATTTTGTTTTGTGTACTTAAACTCACTCACCTCTCATCCTCTGGAACCTCCCAATATTTGTAAATTACCTTTCAGGTGTTGATAAAGCTGTCTTGTCTTGTCACATAAAAGATGTGCTACGTGCAACATTTTGGACCCTTCGCTTAACCTCCTGACCACCCCCCCCCAAAAAAAAACAACAACAACAAACAACAACCTAAA